ATGAATCGATTATTTTCTGAAAATGGATGAATCGATTATACGTCTCATCATCTCGCAGCTAATATCAAATTCTCGATTCTCGGCTAAACCCAAATAAAAATAAAATATCAACCAAGAGACAATTATAGTAAACAAGAACAACCCCCAACATAGAAGAGCAAGCAATTTACAAACACCTCAAAATTACAAAAACAAATTAAATACCAACTTTGCCCCTCCCTCTTGCTCCCCCCTCTATTATATATACCGTTCCTCTCCCAACTCCTTTCACTCGCCACTCCAACGAAAACCATAGAAGGAAAAACAAAACAAACAAACCCACAAAAGAGGAGAGTTTCATCAACAGATTTTAAAAACAAAGAGAGAATATGGGAGGAAAGAAGCTTCACAATCACAACAACAACAACAATGGCGCCGTTGATACCAATAGCAACAACTCCAACCGCAATGGCACAACAACCACAACAACAACGGTGAAACCACCGCCGGTGACTCTCCAGCAGTCCCCCATCATCAATCTTGACCGGTAAGCCAAATATGAATGCCTCTTTTTTTCCATCGTTAATTCCTTCGGCCTTGAGGCTCATATTTTCTAAACCTTCGTCTACTTTTCGAGATAAACCTTCGTTCCTCCCTCTCCTTTGAGTCGAGCAATTTCGTTTTACGTTAAATATAAATTTTTAACAAAATGTGGGTTTCTACGTTTTGCAGCGGGGATCCGTCGGTGTTCGAGCCGTACTGGAGGAAGAACGGAGGCAAGTGCACGATCACGATCTCCGGCCACGATTCGCTGAGCTACTTCTCGGACCCGAACAGCGTGTGCTGGTACATGGAGCCGGAGCTCCAGGAGGCGATCCGGAGGGTCCACCGGGTCGTGGGGAACGCCGAGACGGAAGGCTGCCACGTGGTGGCGGGGACGGGATCCACCGTCCTCTTTCAGGCGGCGCTTTACGCCCTCTCCACCTCCTCCTCCTCCGTCGCCGCCGAGCCCATGAAGGTCGTCTGCGCCGCTCCTTACTACTCGGTGAGCAGAACCCTAAGACCGTTCGATTTTGTTATTACGTTTTGACCTAGTCTATTCGTGGGGGGAAAAAATCTTTCACGAGAGATATTTTGCAAATAACACGTTTTGCATTGTAGGTTGCTCGATCTAATTACGGAGAGAAAAGATCCTAATTTTTTTTGGGTATATTCGCTTTCGTTATTTATAGGGATCGAATTCGACACATTTTCGAAATTTTAATTTGAGATTTCGTCTATACTTGTGATCAATCTGGTCAAAATCACGCTTTAAAATTTAAAAGTTTATACATTTTTGGGTTACTAAAGCGCTTTTATGTAGAATCACGCTTTTCACTTACAAATGTAGTCAAAATCTACATTTTAAAACTTAGGTTTTTACGATTTTTGATCACCAAAACTCTTCTATCTATAATCGCGATTTTAACTGCATTGCTTGTGACCGACATCTAAAAATTGTGATTTATGAGATGTGCGATCTAGTTAAAGAATCAAACAAAACTAACGCATGATCATGAACATGCTGATCAAGTTGAATAAACCCATGTTAATGCTCCATAATTAATAGACAGGAGTGTGAGACAAAGAGACAGAACATGTTTGTTAGAAACCCATAGGAATTTTTAGGGAAATGGGAAATTTGCATTTGCCTGGAGAAACATATATGTATATTTAACATAAGCATGTTTCAGATTCAATTCTCAATATAAGAAGCAGAAATGAACATGGTAACATGGTCATGTCGCCGTACCAATTAACACGTAACAGAGAGTTAAGATACGAAATTATTTGATTAATTTAATTTAATTTAATTAACGTTAAATTAATTGGATATGTTTTCTTGTAGCAATACAAGGAGCAGGTGGAGCTGTTGCAGTCCCGGCTGTACGAATGGGGCGGCGACGCTGAGACGTTCGACGGCAGCGCGGCGCCGTTCATCGAGGTGGTGACTTCGCCGAACAACCCGGACGGCAGCCTCCGGGAGGCGGCGGTGGCGAACAAGACGGGGAACGGCAAGCTGATCCACGACCTGGCTTACTACTGGCCCAACTACACTCCCATCACCCGCCCCGCCGACTACGACATCATGCTCTTCACCCTCACCAAGTGCACCGGCCACGCCGGCTCAAGGATCGGGTAAGAAAGTGGTTAACTATTATATATATATCTCTCTCGATAAATCGAATTATTATGACCAATTGATTTATGACATGGTATCTGAGTTGATTTGTCATTGAGATTGATCTTTAAGTCCTCAGAGTACTTCAATTACATGAATTGACTTTCGTTTAAAAAGGATGTAAAAAGTTATTAAAAATCATACATCAACATCTCTTGATAACTTGAGTTATTCGAACCAGTTCGTTTATGACCTATTCCAGGCATCATTGAAAAATAACACAATATTATGCATTTGTTCGTGTTGCTTTTGTTAATAAATTGTATATAATTCATAATTAAACCTCTTCTAGAGTAAATCGAATTATTAGGAACAATTGACCTATTACATAATAGAGAAGTCTTATGTTCAAAACTCGCTCGGTGACCCCATTTGTTATATAAGCACACGCAACTCGAATTATTGACATCAATTCAACTTTTTTTCGTGTTTGAGAAGGTGGGCGTTGGTGAAGGACGTGGAGGTGGCGAAGAAGATGACGACGTTCATGCAGATCACCACAATCGGGGTGTCGAAGGATTCCCAGCTGAGGGCCGCCAAGATCCTGGACGTCGTCGCCGAGGACTGCGAGCAGCACGCCGCCGGTGCATTCGGCTACGCCGGCAACGACGCCGACAAGACCTTCTTCGGCGAATCCAGGAAGCTCATGGCGGAGAGGTGGGAGAAGCTGAGGGAAGCCGTCAAGGACAAAAAAGACGTTTTTACCCTCCCAAAGTACCCCAAACGATACTGCAACTTCAGTGGAAGATACTTCCAGCCTGCTCCCGGTAAAAAAAACATTTCCTCGAATGTAATGTACTGTGTGGTACGTACATAATCGTCATTCTGAACATGTGATTTTGTATGCGGCAGCTTTCGGGTGGCTGGAGTGCAAGGAAGGGTGCGATGCGTCGGCGTTGATGAAGGCGCACAATGTGCTGACGAGGGGAGGGGAGACATTTGGGGTGAGCAGTAGGTACACGCGGATAAGTATGATTGGTCGAGAGGAGGAGTTCGAGCGCTTCATTGAGAGGATTTCAGGGATTCAGTGTGTTGATGAGGAGGATGAAGAAGAGGAGGAAGAGGAAGAAGGGTTCGTGGTGATGAATGGCAACAATGGCGGCGATGTAATTCGTCTTGGGAATGAGAATTCCAATAGCCATGGGAAGTGGCTTGAACAAGTGGAAGTGCAGTGAATGTGTGTGCAGAAATTGGATAGATGGATGAGGAATGGAATTGGGGATCTTGATTGGAGGAGTAATAATTAATTTTTAAGTTTTTTTTTTTTTTGGTTGGTAGGGTTATGTTATAATGTGGTGTGTATAGTAGGGGTGGGAAAGGTATTGTTATTGAGTTGTAGGGTTTGAAGCTGTAAGGATGAGCTTAAAATTTGAGTTTATGGGGCTCGTCTAAGGTGGAGTTTTCGTAGTATAGTTAGGGATTTAGTTTCGGGAGTCCGAAACTTAGTGGATTATCGACATAAAAAAAAAAGTTTAATATAATATAAAGTATTATAATTTTTGTTATTATATCGTAAGAATATTTTAAGTTTGATGCTTAAGTTTTAAAATAAAATTTTGTATAAAGTTCTGCTTAATATAAAATGATTAAATTATTAATTAAAACTTAATCATGCATTTGAATGTGTAGCATGTTATTCAACCCTTTTGTAACTGAAAAATAAATGTCCATCTACACTAGAGTTAGTTTAAAAATAAAATTATCTAATCATTACGTATTCAAAATTATACTTCGAAATATGAACTTACGAGTTGATGAACTTCGTTAGTTTGAAGTCACGACACATCATCCTTAGAGGTCTAAGGTAGTGTGCATAACAAGAATCCAAGAAGAGACAGAACCAGAATTTTGCCCTGCCTTATTTCTAACTTTTCTCGCTCTATCTTTTTTTGCTCTCGATGTCATTCAGTTCAAACTATTTGGTATTTCGTGGATGACAGGACAGACCCTCTCCATCCTTACTCAACTTTGCTTTCTGCCATATAGTGCATACTATTACTAGCACAAGATTGGTTGGTTTGCATATCTCATACATATCACGAAAGGAATAGAAGTAGGGATGGCAACAAAACCCGAACCCATGGGTACCCACCCGACCCAACCTAGTCAACGCGGGTAAAATTCGTGTTGACGGGTTTTGGGCCGGGTTTGGATTTAAACCCGTTCACTATTCACCGGGTTGGGTTGGGTTTGGGTTTAGGTAAACCCGATCCATGGGTACCCGTCCACACCCATATAATTAATTTTCTTGGCATATTTAATATTCTAAACAACTAATCTTATTTATGTTTGTGGAGACATGTCTAATTTTTTCTTTCTAGTTATGTAGTATGAAGTTGATGTTATTGAGTGGAGAGTGAAAAGCTTAATTGAAAGGAAGAAGCTTTCAATTAATCATATTATTTATGGATAATCTGTGATTTGCTTCAATTTTCTTGAGTTTTCTAGATTGGTGTTGAACAATTTGTATATTTAATTTGTGATTTGCTTGAATTTTCTAGAGTGGTATTTTATATATGGATAATTTGTATTGGGAGATTAATATTTAACTTTAATTTTGATAGAAATTTGTTATTGTGGATTATTTACAACAAAAACCCGTGGGTACCCATGAACCCGCGGATACCCAGCGGGTTGGGTTGGGTTTGAGTTTTTCAAACCCAGTGGATTTTACCCCGGGTTTTTTTCACGGATAAACCCATGGATTTGGGTTTGGGAAAACCCGACCCATTGCCATCCCTAAATAGAAGTGATGGATCAAATCATGAGGCAGTCTCGCTCGTACCTACTAGCTTGTGAACCAACCGCAAGGGGCTAATTAGAATTAGTATGGTTGGAGATTATGTGGGAATCACATTAACCAGAATTGTGGTGGCTCGGTCTCAACCCCTCTTCTGATCTCTCTCGCCTTGTACTCTAGTCTCTAGCATCAGATTTGAAGCATAAAAAAAGGGAGCCAAGAGTGAGCACAGAAGCTTCACTCTGAAGCACAAAAATATCCATATGCCAATTGCCAAATCTACAGCAAGCACAAAATTACACAAATGTTCCGCTGGTGGGTCGGCTCATCGTGATTTGGTGACCAGAAAAACATAGGAAGAGCTTGAAAAGCCGGAAAATTAACAAGAATTAACACATGATTTCACAAGTGGGGTGAGATGGCTATTTTAAGCAGCCACATATTTCTTGCAAACCAATTAACAATGGCCCAGCAGCTAGCAAACATATAGGTTCGCCCTTCATCATCCAGGTGATTTCTTTCTTTATACGGAATCCCCGAGTTTTCTTCAGCCTTTTGTAGGGACTTGAATCGCGATATAACACAGCTTTCAGATAAGCCGGAGTTCATACTCACCCGCCATTGTTATGTATCTCACCCATGGAAGAGCTTGGTAACCACTCTTCTCAATGATCTTCAGGTACCGAACCTGAATATTATGGTACAGGTGAATTAGATAAAGCAAATAGCCTTAGCAGTTAGCTCAGGTGTATCTAGGAATCAGTGTATAACCAACATTTCCAATAACACAAAAACATAAAAGCATGGAACTGGGATGGACCTATGATATAATACCATTCCTCAAGACAACAATGAGTTCTGATTCTGCTCTAACAACCTAATTTGAAAACATTAAACACAACAGAATTTAAAGATAATCGAAAAGAAAGTGTAAGTGATATCTTGTTCGGGAGTCCTACCTGGATTCCTGAAACAGTAAAATATGGTATCTCGAACTTCACACGTATAGGAGCTTTTCTCTCCGGAGTTGCTTCTTCAGCGGTTATGCTGGGAAGATTGAATTCTGCCCTCAACATATACTCCTGAATAGCGCAGTTTGTTAGACAGCTACTAGACAGAATACAGAGTGCCTAATATATGAATGATAAGATACTAAACCCTTTCTAGCAACTGAGTGTTTTTAATCGGCAAGTATGCAGCACTGAACTTACTTCACAAACATAATGAACATTAATGAAAAGCAAAATATCCATACCTTTCCGCCAGGAAAAGATTTTATTTTCCACATTAGAGCATCGCGTTCAGGAGCATATGATGCTGATCCCATTGACGTTCTGATGTTAGGATTGGAAGCATCAGCTGGAACAGGCAACTCAATTTCCACATTTGTTGCTGTGCTGTAAGAAATCAAGAAACTCTGGGAGATTCAGAAATAATTCCCATTCATAAACTGCATGAAGTATTGAGATAGGAGAAAAGTATATGCCTAACACAGTTCAATAGAACACATTAACAACTAAAGCCGAACAAGAGAATACCTTCGCTCTTTGAACTGACTTCTAGCCTTTACCACGATCTCAACCCGACTTCTAGAATGCTTTTCAACTTGAGCTTCCACCCAAACCAAAGGCTTGACCTGAAAGCAAACAGCATATTTTTGAATGCTGCTTCATAAGAGAGCCCTAAGAAATTAAAAAAACACTCAAAGGTCGTACCTGAGTACTGAGTCGGTATGTCATCAGATCAAAAGATCCATCAGGAGGTATGAAGGATATAGTTCTATCATTCTCAAATCGAGCCAAACGCACACACCTAGTGAGAAGGGGCATTTAGCTCGAGTTATCAGTCAAGTAATAGTTCAAACTCTCCGGTAAGTTGGTAGCATCATAGAGAGATAACGAATTTCGACAGCTAAATGGATTTAAGTAGACTTCAGATCAGGTAGCATACTGATGAAATTTGATATCCTCCAAATCAATGGCCTTTCCCTTTGTTGTTCGACCTTGAGCCTCCAACAATACTCTATCATTTAGGCCAAGCTTACACTCAGGCATACCACTGCAACAAGTGATCGAGCCATAACATTAGCCTTTGCAACCACGGCGAATAAAAAAGTTGACATTACAAACACACCAATCAGAAGATCAGAGGCTCCAGCCACGCTGGGACAACTAGACACCAACCAGATATGCAAAATAAAGTCTCATATTCCAGGACCAGGTATTAAAGGGATAAGATGCATGTCTACTATCTTCGATGACCCATTACAAGGCCACCCCTTGAAATTATGACAGAATTGCATTGCTGAAAACATCACTCTACTGGCCATTTAACAAAACCAATTAACAAGACTAGGGAAACTATTTCCAACTGTACAGTGACAATAAACCGACACATCTAACAGATAGCATGAGAATTCTGCTAATATGATTAACAATCTACTGTAGCAGTTCTATGACATTCAAAAGCATACTATTGCTTCAATCGCCATCATCAGTCCAATGCTTCACTAAACCTAGATTATGGAACGGCTACAGATAGCATGAGAATCCTGCTAATATGATTAACAATACAGTGTCAGCAGAAATTACAAGGTGCAACAAAACAAGGCTGAAAAATTCATACGCCAGAAACCAAAAAGCACTCGTATTCCCAACTCTGACACAAATACGATCTATGAGAAGTTCAACAGACCAGATAAATATCATAATTTGGGACATTGAATGGCTTCCACAACAGTGATTTCAAACCAATCAAGTTATTCAAACACTATAACAGATTCAAGAGAAGAGACAAACCTCAAATAAGTTCTCATCTTCAATGCTCCAACAACATCTGATCTTATTACTTGTCCATTACTATTAACAAGTATGTTAACACTCTCCACGACATCCAAGAAAACCTAAACAAACAAGAACAAAATTTTACTTCGGAAAACATAAGGAAGCACCAAAGAGGAGTGTTAAAACAAGAAAGGGAACCACCTCATTTTTCTTGTATGCGATCCCCTCACTGCGCCAGGACACAGCATTTGTCACAGCCATCGGAGGCCTTTGTGTAGTTTCCATCCTGTAGGCATCTGTCTTGATGAACTCGCTCAGAATTTTAGCCTCGGTATACTGAGGATATCCAAAGTCCATCATTTCATCTAACAACTCGTACTGCAAAGGAACCCAAGCACTGCCGCTGTCATCTCGAATACAACCAGAACATCCAGAAATTCAAATAATACACTCAATTGGAAGTCAACATACCACTACAACAAAGTTATCTCTCAGTGACTCCTCTTCTAATTCTTCAAAATAATGCTTAAAAACCTGCACAAGTGGAATCAGGAACGATCTGTAATAAAAACCCCTTATAGAATCCAAGACTTCGCATCGCTAAATCAATAACATTGTACAAGCCCGCATTTAAATTGCAATGACCATCAGGAGAAGACTTACATCAACTACACGGTGCAGAAATGTGAGAAGGCTGGCGGCATTGCAGTTCTGCCGCGCAGCCGTCATAAGGTAAACGTTGCTGTGCTGAATAAACATGTAAGTGACTCCATTATCATACACAACAGGATCTTGCGACTGAGGATCTCCCTGAATTGATCAAAATCCAAAATCACCGAACCAATCCACACGCACGATTTGATGAGACGAGAGATCTAACTCTAATTAGCTTAAGCAAAATCCTACAGAAATCAATCTTAATCGCTTCCCAAGCAAAGCAAGGAAAAAGAAAGAGAGACGCGAACCTCTTTCTCGATCAGCTTGGTGAAGAAGCGCTCGGCCTGGATTGCGGTGACATCTCCACGGTAGTCGCGCCACACCAGGACCCGGCCCTTTATGTCGAGGAGGAAAAGAGCCGAAACTGCTCCGGCCATTTGCGGAGAGGGGGGAAATGAACTCGCTGTTTCCTTCGATCCAATCCCCTAAATTATGCTCAAAACCACCAGATCGGATATTTTCCTAAAGCGAAGGTGAACGACACGAAACGGTTGTGTAACTGCGATCCGATTGCAGGGAATTTCGCGTCGAGAGAGCAGCTGCGGCAGTTTGAATCATGAGAATCGCCGGGAAAACCGTCCCGGTCGCGATCCGCGACCACCGAAAAACCTTTTCCGAAGTGTAGCGCTGCGCTGGAGCTGTTCCTTTCTTCGGTTTCCGGCTTCTCACTTGTTTTTCTTCTTCTTGCGCAGCGGGTAGATAGATCTCTTGTAGCTGTTTGCTCGCGAGTTGAAGCCCAAATCGGTTTTTCTTTTTCTTTTGTCGACAACGGAGGTTTCAGGGGGGGAAATGGTTAAGTGGTGGAAGTTCTCATTTTCTTTCGCCATAAATTTTTACTAGTCGCTATTAAACGACATACCCTTGCAGCCTTGCTGTGGTCGTTTCAGTGTTGCAACCATGCCTTGAACTCAATGAACATAATAGGGAAATATTTGCTAGAAACGTATACCTTCTGATTGAGAAATAGGAGGTGTAAGTTTTGGGGAGTGCAAATTAAATAAGAGGGTGTAAATTTGAAGAGGTGTAAGTTAATAAGTGAATTAACATTTGGGAAGAAAATATAAGGTAGAATAAATGAAGTGAAAAATAAGTAATTATAATATTATTTATCTTGATGCGAAAGAGAGAAAATTATCTCTATCGGCTATGAAGGAATCATGTAGTCGATATGAAGATGCAATCGCTTCTGCCTACTCCATGATTTGGAGCTTCGTTGTGGCTTGATTTTCTTCTCTTGTCTACGATCAGCTGATTCAATTGACAGCGAAGATCTTTTCTGTTCTACAACCGTCTATCTTTAGATATTGTTGTACATAACTATGGCATTAATGAATATGATCATTGTCAAAGAAAAATATAGGTAGTTTTGCAGAATCTTTAGACCATATATACTAGTTTCATTATCATCATTGAGAGAATTTTTCCGGGACTTGAATTTCAATAAAAAAAAAACATATAAATAATTGAACTCAAGAAGCATGCACTCCTTAGTGAAGATAATATTACTTTTCGCATGAGCCGAATTCTATTGACACATCGTGAATACTTTTTTTTCTTTCATCATTGTTGCTATATCCTTATATGTCTTATTTTGCTTTTGATACCTATTTTTGAAATAGCTATATGACATTTTAAGTCATCTTCTTAACAAGACAAATCTTAATTGTTTAATGAATAACAATGTGGCATTTCTTAAATATGCGAGTTCTTCGCTTCAACCCATCGATTGGATTTCTTGAGGTCAAATGTTCATATTAAAACTTAATACACGCTAGTTTTTCATAGATTGATGTAATAAAATGATCATTCCATAAATATAATGTGAAGAAACATTCGTCGACAATTCTAATCATTTGCTATCAAGCATCAATGAAAACCATTTACAAAAAAAAAACTTCCACATCCTCTATTACAACCCTAAAAAATTTACAAAACTTCCCAAGTCTTGGCAGCGGCCATATTTGATTCATTTTTGTTATAGCAAAAACCCCTAAAATCATATACTTATCCCATGTCTCACAAACCGAAGAGAAAAATTACAAACAAAAACCCAATTTCACTCAAATAATGGGAGCTTAAAAAATCCCTCTTCGAAGAAACAAGAACATTGGAAAAAAAAACATCATGGCAATTAATTAATTTTCAAATTACATCCATTAAGATACCTTGTATGAGTACGGTCTATCTCCCGTTAAAAATGCCACTAAAAACCTGGCTGTCACCTCCCATGGAGGCTTCCCACTCCACGGAAGCCGTCACGATTTGGGCCAGCGGCCCAACAATGTCCCTCATCTCCGGTCTGTTCATCGCCTCTTCACTCAAACACCATTGTGCTATTTCCGCCATCTGCATATGCCACACCCAAAAACATAAATGTTGATTTCAGTTGCAACCACAGTGGCGGCCCGAAGCTCGTCAGCCTAGGTTTCTTCAAATACTATAGACTTTACCTTATAGATTTCTTCCAATGGGTAGCCACTACGAAGGTTTAAGTCTATAATTTCTTCTAGAGCCATTTGCGGTTCTTCAGCTTCAAAAACCTCAGCCAACTGTCAGGACAAACAAACAAAAAAAGGTGAGTTGCCCAATTAGACCGCTCCTCGAGTGTAATTGAGGGTCCTAAATATTAAACGAGTCAGGCGGGATAGGTTTGTCTATGGGCTCATTTTAGTGTCGGGGTCATCTTTTGGATTTGGGTCGTGTCAACGTAAGACGTTTTGGCCCTATATATGACTCATAACAACAACTAGTGATTTGAAATCGAGAGAGTAAGATGTCAACTTATTGGATTTGGTGGTCTAGTGGTAATACCGCTAACTTTGAACCTGGAGGTTCTAGATTCGAATCTCTTAAGTAGTAGCTAAACAACAAAAAAAAATCTATATATATCATCCTTACCAAACAAAAAATGCCAATATATTGGACTTGTATGTAAAATTTTGAAAATTCAGGTACTATAATGCAAGGTAAAAATATGAAGACATTAAAATGTAATTTATCACCAAAGTTTCTTGACTTGTTTGTAAGAAAAAAAAGTTTAGGCACTAAATTTTAAGGAAAAATAAATTTAGATACAAGTTTTAAAATTAATTTGTTGATTGATTAGAGTCGACAAGCTGGCCTAACCCAACAAGACCTGGTTAAATAGGATAAGAAGAAAACAAGGATGAAGCATGCCAGTTTCTAAATTGATCCTCCAAGGATGAACCAGACAGGTTTCTTACAAGATCAGAAACGGGCTGCACCATTTTAATGCAAAGGATATCCATATTTTTTAGTGTAATTCTGAGATGGGTAGATGAGGCACTTACGGTTGTGATGAGGGATTTGAGCCTGCCAGGTTCTTTGTTGTCCCGAACCAAAGCTCTTTTCCCTGTGATGAGCTCTCCCAGAAGGACTCCAAATGCAAAAACATCGGTTTTTGAAGTGACTTGTAGTTCCTTCACAGACCTTTCCTCCAAAAAAAATTCACCAAACAACTAGGAATTAATTAGTAGTACCACACGAAAATTCCTGAAATGTGACGAATTTTTTTTCTAGCTCAAATGAATCATGAACTTGTAATTATTTACTCTGGAGGAAGGTAGCCTGGAGTTCCGACTAGTCTTGTGGCTATCAACTCATCATCGTTGCTCCTCTCCACCAGCTTAGCCAATCCGAAATCCGCAACCTATCGGGATTTAATCTTCCGAATTCAGACTGCTATGGTACAAATTAATTTATGGCACAAACCGAACTTGTATCTTCAACGTTATTATACAAATTTAATTTGTATCTCGAAACGCCAATATATAGTTTACAGGGCTCTATATAATATATATACCTTGGCTCGAAGGCAATCATCGAGCAAAATGTTGGTGCTCTTGATGTCTCTGTGTACATATCTTGTTTTAGTATGGTCGTGGATGTACTCGATTCCCTTGGCGGCATCAACTGCTATTTGAGTTCTTGCAGACCAGGAAAGCGGCTGGTAACCTGATGCAGGCCAGGCAGAGATTTGTAATGACGTCCAGTTACATAAATTAAACAAGTGTTTGTTTCATGTTCATTTAATGCAGTCAGTCATAAATATATTTATTATTTATGTTGGTGTTCCAACCTCTGAGCAATGGGTCGTGGAGATGGTCACTTAGGGATCCATTGCGGACATATTCATACACCAAGAAAACATGATCATCCCCACTCGCATACCCCAAAAGTTCCACCTGCGCATGCATTCACGTACATGATCACATCATATATGTTTGTTACTCATTAATTTCGAAACCCGAGTCATTCTACTATATACTTTAAAATATTGATACTTTGAGGTGCAAATCGAACTTGTAACATTACGTTGATGTACAAGTTCAGATTGTATCATAAATGTACAAATCCAGTTTGTATCATAAAACAATCTGTAAAAAAGATATAAATATAAACTGAATTTGTAACACAAACGCGTTAAATGTACAATAAAGAAATTTGAAAAAACAAAGTATGAGTAGAAACTGAATTTGCACCATAGTTTTAAAGGTATAAATTCATTTTGTACCATAAAGATTTTTTTTAAAAACCAAAACTCCGATAAGCATGGTTGAATTTCTCCGTATAGAACTAACTGATTATTAGCTTATGTATATAGCCTAGGGGTTGATTAGTTACTCACAACATTGATATGATGAACCTTGCAGAGAACCTTAAGCTCTGCATAGAACTCTTTGGACTTGTTCGATCTCATCATCTTCACCGCCACCTCCTAATTAACATCAAAACCCAAAAAGAAAATTAATTTTGATTAGGTCATTGACCTCTGTCTCTCTGTAAGCTTGTGAAACAAGAAAGAATATTATTGACCCGGCGGCGGATGAGATTATATATGCACCTGGCCTCTCAAGATTCCAAAGAACACTTTGGCATATCCACCCTCTCCAATCTTCTTGGACTCATCGAAGTTGTTGGTCGCCTCCTCGATCTCTTCTATGTTGTACCTCACCGGTCCTTCCGCGTCAAAGTACCCTTTCTCGAAATCTCCACAACCCACAACAAACACCATCAAAATCAAGGTCAAACATAAACACAGTTGACTTCCCCGTGGCGACGATCACAACAACATTTCCAATAATTACCTCCGGTGAAGTCCTTGAAAGACTTTAGAACTGAAGGTGTTCGGTAAGAACTGATGCTGCTTCCAAACCCTCCTCCTCCTGCTGCAGCAGCTTTTTGATCCTGCGCCAGCTTCATGCCATTAATACTCTGCTTCTGCTGCTTCAAGTATCTCTTCCTCCGCCAAACAAACACCAAACATCCGGCGATCAGAAGCAATGTTGCTGCCACTGACAGGACTATGGCCACCACCGTCCATTTCTCAGACCCCCCTGATTTCACAAACAAAATAATCATATACCTCATTCACAAAAATGGTAACCAAGTGATGCTATGATCACCTCAAAACAGATCCGCTCTCCAGACTCCAAGTAGTGGGGTATGGACTTATACACGTGTTGATATGACTTAAAATTTGATTATCCGTAGTAGACTGGAAGTCACGGTATGAGCTTATATACATTTGGGTTTCAGTTTTGGTCATGATTTGTCATTTGGAAAAGTACTATTTATACGTCTCAATCCCTCTGCAACCTGTAATATCCTCAAATATAGTGAAATTGGTTCTCTCCTGCCTGTTGACTAACTAACACACATCGTGTTAGTGAACCACATTAATCTTTATATTCTTTACTTTCTTGCATTGTCGATTATCCCGATCCGTTCTAACAACAAGTTTGTTTTACTAATTTTTGGTATGTTCTGTAACCT